AATGAGCCCCTGATGTCTGAGAGATGTTGGCTCTGACCGTGGGGATGGATGATATAAATGTGAAAGGAGGGTCCCTGCCCGTAAGGATCTGTGAATCTCAAGAGAGGTGGACACATGTGTAGCTGCTCCTGTGTCAGATGCTGTCCTAGCAGAACGACGTGCCATGAGGGATCTGAGGAAGGCACAGTGCAGATGCTCCAAGGGACAGGGTAGAGATCTCGTCACCAGCCCTTGAGCAGCAGGCAAGTTTCCAGTGGGGACAGAAAGCGAGGAGCCAACACACTTCCTGCTGCTGTGTGAGGCCCGGGGGCCGGAGGAGGCCTGGACCGAGCCAGCCCTTCTAGCAGCTGCAGATGAAGAGAAGGAACCAGAGGGACTTTGCCTGATGAGGAAGAAGGGAGGGAATCCTTCCCCCCAGGTCCTGCTGGCTGCTACCTTCTCAGCTGGCCCTTCTCTCCACCGCCTCAGGGCCTGTGCTTGCACCTGGCTCCTCCCTTCAACCAGGAAGTGGAATTAAATGAGGTTGTGGTTAGCACTGTACAGGAGCTGTTCCCACTGCTCTTTCTCCATCTGCTTCGGTGCTAGCACCCAGCATCTGTCCTCTGGCCTCCCACAGCCTGCTCTTACCGGGAGGGATGCCATCGCAGTGAACCGGCCCAGAACAGCCTGTTGTCGCTCCCCTGGCTCCTGCCCGGGGCTTCCTGCCCTCTTCACCTTGGCAAAGCCGATCCCTGTCGCTGCCAAGCACCTACTCCTGGACCCTGAGGGGCTTTCCATCACACTCTGAGGCAAGCTCGAACCCAGCCGTGACTTCAAAGCCCGCACCCAGGGGGCCTTGGCCTCCCTCTCTGCTCCTGTCTCTGCCACAGCCTGCCCGCCCTGTCACCCACTCCCACCAGAGGAGCAGAGAAAGACTGAGGACAGGACTACAAAGATCATGTGGTTAGTGCAGGGGCCCTGCTACAGCTTCCCTGATCCATGACCATCCAGTCTCTGCTTGAATATTTCCGGTGACTGGGAGCTCACTCCCACTTGAGTCAACTCTTTCCATTATGGGACAGTTTGGCCACAAGAAACCTCTTCCTTTTTTTAAGTGGAAAGCTATCTACTGTCACTCCTATACAATAGCCCTGTCCCGTCCTCTGGGGCCACATCAAATAGGTCTAAGTCGTTCTCTACAGCTTAATGATTGAGCATGCTGTTTGTGGAACTCAATGATCAAGGATCCAATCCTGGGTCTGCCATTTACTCGCTATGGGGCATTAGCTGCATTTCTTTACCTGTCTTGGCCTCCATTTCCTCATCTATAAAATGGAGATAATAATAGCACCTACTTCATGAGTTACATACGGGCTGAGTGAGTTAGTAGATATAAGCTCTTAGAACAGCACATGACACATAATACATGCTCAGTAAATTACAGTATCTGAACAAAACGGTCTCCTCCTTTTCTCTTCTTAGCTTAACATCCTTTTAACAGTATTCATACGGCATGACTTCCACATCCCCCCAGCTCTCGTTTAGCTCACACTTTAGTGGGCTTAAGGCCCCCTTACAATGTTATCTCCAACGTGGAGCCCCCACTTCTCATGACCCGGAACTTGTCCTTCTGTCAGTGTGGCGAAGACTAATTAACTTTGCTCGTTTGTATCAAGCAGTTGGCTCCTGTCAACCTCGTGGTCAGTGAAAATCCCAAGATCCTTCTCACTTGCTTCTTTTAGGGGTTGGATCCTCACGGCACTACCTCTGCCCTCCACTCCACCAAGTCCTCCAAGCTCCCTATATACTCTATAGCACCCAAGGTCTAGAGTACCCTTCTTTCATACCCCCCAACTCATCCATGGACCTGTCTCAGTCCTTAAGCCAAGCCTGGTGAAGGTCCTCCCTGATACAGACTCCCAGGTTGACCACTCTATTGCGGCTGGTGTTTCTGGAATTGTTCCATCCCGGTGGCAAAGCTTCACCTGTCTTCTTGTCACCTGCATGCACTGACCCTTGGCCTGGGCAAGCATGACACATCTCCCATCTTGGCTTTGAGGACTTGTCCTTTTTCCTCCTGGTCCTTCTGCATATTTGTGGCTCAGAGGAAGTGGCCTCATGGTCATGCACTTGTCATGAGTCTCTGCTTCCTCTAAACTTCCCCTTTCAGGGACATCCTATTCCTTCCTGTGGGCTGCCATGGATGAGTGCTGGGCAGTCTGGCAGACGCCTGCTCAGGCTGGGAAAGAGTGCACAGTTCTGACACAGCCTGCTTCCCTCCCCTCCCTACGCTCTTAGCTGGATTTTTTTTTTCTTTATTTTCCTTCCTGTGTTGAAAGAGCTATGGGGCCTGGACCATGGTAAGATTTCCTGGGGACATTCCATAAATTCATCATGGGCCGTTTCTCTGGAGAGGGATGGGTGGGTAAGTGGGAGGCCAGCGGGAGCTGGGGTGTGAGTACCAGGTGCCTCAAAGGAGTGTGGGTAGGAAAGGAAGGGCGAGTTGCACAGAGAAGGGGAGGGGTATTATGAGCTCATAGACAGAGTCAAAGAAAGGCACAGCGAAGAGTGAGAAGCAGCAGCCAACTTGCAGGTTGGAACAAGCTGAGGGCAGCCACACTCCCAGCCTTGCCCTTGAACTGGCTGACTTGCCTCCATAAGGACTCGCCCGCCAGGGTTTGGAGAACTTTGCTCGCTCGGGTGTGTGGCCTGGAAAGATGCCCCAAGCAGCCCCTGCTGTGTGCTGTGCAAGATACACAGAGACATGGGGAAGGTCAACACAGGGGCCCTCTGAGTCTGGCTAGGTCGTTCTTCTTTCATTCAGTCCTCACCCGTCCGTTCAGCAAACACTAACTCCTTAACTCAGATCCAAGACCAAAAAGGGTGGAGGCACTAGCCCCTGGCTGACCCCTCCTGCAAGTCTGCGCCCAAAGATTGTTCCCAGCATCCATCCCTGGGCTCTGTGGCTGCTTCTTTAAGTAAAAAATGGTGTCAAACTCGGTGTCAAGGCAAGAAGCAACTTGGCCAAGTCTCTAGGCTTGGACAAGTCCCTGGGCCTCAGTTTCCCTGCTGAATACTGAGAGTATTGGGCCAGATGATCTCTAAGTTTCCTTAGAGGATGGTTCTATTTTTCAAAACACTTTTGAGGGCTATCCCATGTGTGACCACACATGGGGAACAATTAGGGAGAAAGAAGGAAATAAATATGAATAAAGCATGGCCCCTGCTTTTAATAAAACTTTCAAGAGGATAAAGGAGACGGAGTTACATGAGTGATCCAGAACCCTGTGGCTACTGCTGCCCCAGACAGCCCTTGTGTGGTTTAGAAAAAGGTGGTCTCTATGGGCAGAGAGACTAGTAAGAGCAGCCTCTCTGGGAGAATGTTTATACCCTCAGGGGCATGGTTGACAGGGAGAGCTGAGGCTGGACTTCAGCTCCCATAGGCCACTTGGTTCAAAGCCCCCTTGCAAGGAGCAGTCTACCCAACCGCACAGGAATACAGGAAGCTGCTGAGCAGGGAAGCAGTAGCCGCAGGGTCCAAGCTGAACCTTGTTTGGTGGAATACATCACTTTTATGTTTTTATTGATTTTTTTGAGAGAGAGGAGGGGAAGGGTGTAGAGAGATAGAAACATCAATGAGAGAGGAACATCATCAATCAGCTGCTTCCTGCACGCCCCCTATTGGGGATGGAGCCTGCAACCCAGGCATGTGCCCTGACCGGGATTCGAACCATGACCTCCTGGTTTATGGGTCGACACTGAGCCACACCGGCGGGCGGAATATATCACTGTTAAATCTTAATGGAATCTCATAAGGCAGTTCCTTTCCTCCCTTGTTTTGGGAAAGCAGGGACCACACTCAGCCTCCCTTCCATGTGTCTAAAAGCCAAGCCAGGATTCGCTGGCAGAGGAGCGGGCACGGCACAGGGAAAGGAGAAAGGACCAAAGGGCGTTGGTCTCATGAGAACCAGAAGAGGTCTGGAGGGTTCAGCACCTCCACATACACCCAGGCCCGTTGTTCTTACCTCCTCTGGCAGCAGCTCAGAACAAGCAGATCACGGAAATTCTTCCTCACGCTCCCGCCCTGCCACCCTCGTTCCCAAATAACATCTCTCCCAGGCTCTAAATGGATTAGGAGGGAAGAGCTACAGGGGTGATGGCAACATCAAGGGTGAGACGTGGTGTGATCCACAGGTGGGGGGAGGGCTGGAGAAAGGTGGCAGGAAGGTAAGTTTAGGGAAAGGGGATTAGCTGGGACCGGAAAGAATGTGGCCGCCGTAATCCCACATAATGAGCCAGACCGTGCTCGGTCTCCGCACCCAAGCACCAGGCAAGCAGCTACAAGCTTGCTGCACACAAGGGCACCCACACTGTTAGCCCAGACGGCCCCGGCCCTCCTGTTGGCAGAGGTGCCCAGGGCAGGCAGGGGTTAAGATGTCTGCTTCCTCCTGGAAGCTCAGGGCTTGGGGGTGGGTGGGAGTGGAGGAGTGGAGAAGACTCTCTAATTTCCGAAAGAAGAGAGACCGAAGGAAGGCGTCTTCCCCAGGCACCATGTGCCCTCGAGGGCAGCCCCACCATTTGCCCTGTCCTTAGAATGGAGACCCCTCATCTGCTTCAGCCAGATGCTCTGAACTCAACAAAGACTTTTGACCAGTACAATCAACTCTCGGGGCTGTGGGGAGGAATTCGTGATGTTAGCTATTTATAATACCGAGAATCGAATAATCAAATCAGTTCTTCTTAACTTGGAGATAAAGAGTGGAGTGTTTTTCTCCCTTAGGCAAACCCACCTTCCTAATTCCTTGAAGGGTGGGCAATGTGAAACACGCTTGCATTTCCTACACACCCATTGACGAATGGCTGGGGAAACAACTAGAAGATAAGCCGCAAAAATAACTCCCTATCCGACCCGTCTGCCAAGAAAATCAGAGTGGCCTGTTGTGCAGTCTCCACCAACAGCTCCCTTCCAGAAGCGGCTCCCAGCTGAGGAGCTGAAGGGCCGCGGGCTCGCAGTCTCTTACCTTCTTCAGCTTGCCACTCTTAGTCCCCACGAACACCACGCTGTAGCCGTTGTAAACATATGAGGCCACTGATGTCATGCGGTCCCGGCTGGTGGTGTACAGGGTCAGGCCCTCCACCGGCGTGGAACCTCCTAGCGGCTGGTTGATGTCTAATCCACAGAAGTTGTCGTCGATGGGGACCGGCTGGAGGGAAGGGGAGGAGATGGGGGTGAACAACAGCAGAGTCATGGCCATCAGTCTATAGCCCACCCCTAAGCCCCAGCCCTAGGACCAGGCTTCGGCAAGGTGTGACACAGGAGCAGGGCCCTGACACTCGGTGTAAACAACATCTCACCAGCTGACCCATGTGTCCCACAGGGGCATCTGGTGATACCAGCCATCCTCCTCATTCACCTGCAGTCACCACTCCCTTTCTATCAAGAGATCCAGGGTAATTTGTAAAGCTTATGGCTTAAACTCACTTTCTGGCCATTTTAATGTCTCGGTGGACATGCCATTTTGGTGATCTTTCTATTTAGACAGTAGTGGTTCGGTCCAGAGGCAACACCCCCGGATTTCTACCAGCCTGGAGAGGATTTCTTGTTTGTTTGGGATGCCACACCTCCCTTTGGGCATAAAGAATTTTAAGACAACTATTCACCACTTTCTATACGGGGGATGGATTGGAAAGGGTCATTTTAATGTCAAACATAAAATTTTAATTTGAAAAATGCACTTAATCTATATAAACCTCAGTTTCTTCATTTGTCAAACCACCTGCCCACCTTTCTGAGAGAATGACTGAAGAGCGAATGAAACAATGCCTGCAGGAGAGTCTGAAGTTACGTAATGATTTCCACTGTCCAGTATAGGCCTCCCGCCCTGTCCAGGTGACAGCCGCCCTGCCACCAGTGGTGAAGGGAGTGGTGTTATGCCTCTGTGTATCTTTCAGGAGAGAGTAGGGGCACTTCCATTCATTTTTATATTTTCATTATTGACAGAGACTAGGGCGTTTTGGAAAGAAGATCACCTTAAACCAATGAAAAACGAGTTGGACAGAAAGTAGGAAGCCCCGAGTTCTAGCCTCTGCTCTACCGCTAAGTACCTCTATGTATCAACTTGGACCAGTGGCATCCTCTTTGGTTGCTGTTAAAGGGGGGTGTTAAATTGATTATTTCTAAGATCGCATTCAGTTATGTAAATAAAAAGACTGTATGCTTCCTGAGGACAGGGGCTACCAAAGGGCCTATGGTCTCTGCCCAGTGCCCATCCTGGGGCTGGGCCGTAACAGGCCCTCCGAAACACCTCAGTGGACTATACACCTGGAATCCTGCGGGCAAAGGCTGCCCACTCTGGGCCAGCTGAGAGCCCGGAGTCCTGTGACAGCTGTTTCTTCTGGGTCTGGAAAGGCATCCCAGAGGAGGAAGGAAATGACTGTTGTCGCGTAGAAAGCGTCAGGGAAAAACTTGCAACCTGTTCCCTTCAACCTCCTCCTCTCACCCTTCCCAGGAAATAGCTGGCTGGTGCCTCACTGGTCAGCGGCCTCCTGGCCTTAAAATAACTGGCGTATAAGCTAGGACATGTGCTTGCTAAACCAGGGTCTTCCTTCCGTTCCCTCCCGAGAAACACAGGAACAGAGACTTGTGTTTTGGAGAGAGTTGTGCTCCTGCTGCTGGTAGGAATGGTGGTGCTGCCCTTGTGTGTGTGTGTGAGTGTGTGTGTGTGTGTGTGTGTGTGTGAGTATGTGAGTGTGTATGTGAGTATGTGAGTATGTGTGTGTGTGTGTATGTGTGTGTATTCTTTAGGAAAGAGAACTGACTTTTAGGGTGAAGATAACCTAGAACTCTGGTAAGATGGAGCCACCACCACACCCCAAGCCCTGCCCCAGCAGAAGGGATGAGCTTCTGAGGAAGGGAGGGAAGGGAGCAGGGGTATGCCGGAGCCAGCCCCTGAGGGTTGACGGCAGATCTCTGCATTCAGTGACATCACACCGGTGGAGTGAAATCGGCTGTGGTGGGAGCACTCACACCATGGACATTAGCAAATGCTTCTAGGCAAGGCTCCCACCACCACCACCACCACCACCACCACCACTGCCGCCACAGCCTGCTTAGAGCTCGCTGTTTAATCTTTACCAGCACACCACGGGAGCCCATGTGGAAAGAATCTTGTGCCTAGGAATGGAGCCAGAGGAGCAGCTACTACCTTTTACACCTTCTACTTGTCCTTCTCATCCCCACACGGCAGGCAGCAGGGGCCCTGGAAAACTCCTAAGATCTAGATTGTAGTCCTGTCTCTAAGACCAGCTAGCCACTTCACCTTGATGTGTCACATGCCCGCTCTGGGCCTCAGTTTTCCCATCTGTGAAGTGAAAAGGGTGGACCAGGTAATCATCAACCTTCCTTTCAACTCCGCAAGTCCCTGTCAAGGTTTCAGTTTATTTCCCACCGTCTCCTGGGGCTGACATAGCTGCAGAGTCTGCACACAGCCATAGTCCAAGCCAGCTTCTGAGAGATGATGACAGAAGCAAAAGTCTGCTGGTGATTGTGGGTTTCTCTACCATCCCCCCTGACTCTAGAATGTCCAGACCATGAGGAAAACGGATTATTCTCAGTCTAAACCCCTGGGAATGGCTGACATTTCTCTCTGTCCTCTAAACTGTCAGATCCTCCCAAACACCTGATGCGCCTTCACTTTTGCTCAAATGGTGAGATCTTGGAGTGTGGCTTTCTTTAAAGCAGCGTGGCTAGACAGAAATAACTTGGACTTGTAGTAGGCAGGTAGACATGAGTAGAACAAGGATGACAGCCAGGTACAAAAAGCCCCAGGTGCCTAGCAAAGGGCAAAACTGGGAAAACAAAGACCTGGCCCCAGGGTATCTTTGTCCCCTAGCATATCCCTGGTTTAGAGGCCCCCGACCATTCATGTTTCTGGTCATGCATTTTTTTTTCCTTTTTTTTTTTTTAATATATATTTTATTGATTTTTTACAGAGAGGAAGGGAGAGAGATAGAGAGTTAGAAACATCGATGCGAGAGAAACATCGATTAGCTGCCTCCTGCACATCTCCCACTGGGGATGTGCCCACAACCCAGGTACATGCCCTTGACCGGAATCGAACCTGGGACCTTTCAGTCCGCAGGCCGACGCTCTATCCACTGAGCCAAACCGGTTTCGGCTGGTCATGCATTTTTGATGCTCCCCTGGCATATTTCTAGTCTATTGGGTTAGACTCCCTTAGCGGGGGAAGGGAGGAGGGGTGGAGAATAGCCCTTAAGCATTAAGCCCCAAGACAAGGAGGCTCTGACCCGCATCAGATATATCTAGGCCTCGGTTGTGTTTCATCTCTAGGCCCAGAAAAGCAGCAAAATCAGACAAGTGATGTCATGACTGACCTCAGGACCAGTTGCACTGACCAATGGCCCCCGGCTCTGACACTGACCCATCAGTAGAGGCCATGACCCTGAAAGGACCCACCTGACAAGCTGGTGAATATTCTATTGGGACCCTCTCTGACAGGATAGTGCTCACAACTGCTTATCTTGTCTCTGCTGCCCTCTGGCCTGGATCCGGAGCTCCCTTTCTCCTCCTCTCTTCCCTTCACCGGATTATGTTTCTCCAGTTTGCAATCTACCATTCGAGCTTAATTCCCTTCCCTCTCCTCCGCTTCCATATCCACCTGCCTACCCGACACCCCAACTTGGCTTCCCAGTGGCCTACAAGCCTCTGCACAGACACCATCTGATCCTGTTATCTCTGACCGCCCGCCTCACCTTCCCCCACTCCTTCTCCCCCATGCGCTGATGCAGCTGCAGTGGCCTCCTTGCCGGTCCCCACACACGCCAGGCATGCCCCGTATGCTTGGCCCTTGCCGTTCCCTCTCGGGAATGTTTTCCCCAGATTCCCACATGGCTCGCTTCCTTACCCTCCTCAGTCTTTGCTCAATGAATCAGCCCTTTCAGGGACTGCCTCTTCCCTTTCTCTGCTTTATTTTTCTCTACAGCCATCATCACCATTTGACAGGCTACATACGTTATGAGTGCTTATTTGTCTTGCCTCACTAATGAAAGCTCCATGAGGGCAGGGGGCTTTGCTGTTCAGGTCACCACTGAAGCCGGCAGTGCCTGGTGTTGTGTAGGCTCTTGATATATATATATATATATTAGTTGACCCTTGAGCAACATGCATGTTTTTCAATAAATACTATAAATGTATTTTCTCTTCCTTATATTTTCTTAGTATTTCTTTTCCCTAGCTTACTTTAAGAATACAATATCCAGTAATACAAAATATAAGTATTGATCAACTGTTTATGTTATGGGCAAGGCTTCCAGTCAACACTAGGCTATTAATTACGTTTTTGGGGAGTCAAACGTTATAAGTGGATTTCTGTCCGCACAGTGGGTCGGTGCCCCAACCCCACTGCTCAAGGGTCAACCATAGTTGGAATGGCTCAGTGGACCAACAAACGTGTGTCTGGTGTAGGTCAGACTCGGTGCGATTGGTCACCACCTGATGACGTGAGCAGAGCAGGTGCGCGCCTCCTTACCGCCTTGGTGCACTGGACTTCCTTCCCCAGCAGCCAGTTGAGCTCCAGGTGGCCCTCACCCTGGTAGCAGGACTGCAGGCGCTCCTTGATCTGCAAGTTGATGGCAGGGATGGGGAAGGCACAGAGGGCGGAGTCATCGGGCGGGTGGTGGTACTGCTTCTGCCCTTTGGAGAAGATGGCGAAGAGCACGTCATCCTGGCTGCTGATGTTGAAGGCCTGGGCCAGGGAGGCCCCGGGCTTGGCGAGGTAAGCCGCCTGCAGGAGGCGGTATTCCACCCCAGCCCGCGTGCAGCCGAAAGGCAGGGACACGTAGGAATGGAACTTGGGGTCATTCTTGCAGAGCCTCACGATGCGCGAGGTGTAGAAGAGGTCTCCGGCCGAGTTGATGGCCACCCCCTCGGGGGTCTCGGGCTGCACCGTGAGGAAGTAGACGAAGCCCCCGCTGGCGAAGCCGTAGATGTAGAAGATGTCGAAGTGGGAGACCAGGGCCAAGGTGTCGGAGGGGATCTTGATGAGGGAGGACACGAAGTCACTGTGCAGCTCGTAGTCCAGCATGGCGGAGGACTCGGGGTCGCGAGGCAGCTTCCTGCTGGACAGGGTGGGGAAGTAATCCTGCTTTCCGTCCACGGCCGTGCCGATGAAGAGCTTGCCGTCCTGCCCCTCGGAGCGCACGATCACCCCGTACATCGTCCCCGTCTTGTTGACGCTGGACAGGTAGTGCTCCTTCTTGTGGAATGGCTCCGCCAGGATAAAGAGGTCGTCCAGCCGCAGCAGCTTGCAGACCCCCTGGTAGAGGCTGCCACAGGCCAGCAGGCGGTTCTCGGGGTAGTCAATGATGAGCAGCTTGTTGACGTTGTTGGTGAGGGTGAGCGCCTCGCTGCAGGGCTGCACGGTGAGGGGCGGGTAACAAGACTTGTTGTCCTCCCGCGGCCCAGTCATGTGAGCCACCTGGATGGTCAGGTTGCCCGTCAGCTTGTAGACCCGGTTGATGGCCCCGACGTACACTGCCCCCGTCCCTCGGTGGACAGTCAAGTGGTTGAAGGTCCAGTCTCGGTTCTCAGAGTGGAAGGTGCTGAACTGAGGCATGCCGGCTGCCGGGGGGGCCAGCAGCACCCAGACCACGGAGAGCAAGACCACAGACCGGCTGTCGACCTCCACCCGTGGCCAGGGCCTCCTCTGTTCCATGCTGAGCGGGGCAAGGACCAGGAGGCGGATCCTCTGAGCGCTCATCCACGCCGCCTTCCTGAGCTGGCCCTCACATGGTTCTGGAAAACACAAGGCAGGGAGGTCAGACGGGAAATCGGTCCTGAGAGGAGTGAATCGAATGGCCTGACCTGGAGTCCCAGCCCCGACTGGCTCTGCATCTCTTCCTTGCGTATTTCAGTGTTTCTATTTTTAACAGACTTTCTCCCTCTTGGGGTTGTTCAGGGAATCCTGTTATCTATTTTGGTCTCCAGCCTTTACGCTGTAAATTCCTTTCTTTTGCTTTACAAAACATCTCTATTTCTGTCCTCTTAAGACACCATTTTTATCTCTCAGAGAGGTTAAAAGCCAGTTCAAGTTCACCGGGCCAGTGGATCCCGGGTCGGGACTAAAGCCAGTCTTCCTTCCCGGGTATCACGTCTGCCCTCTCCCCATCAGGTGGAAATCTCCCGGTTTTAAATGCTTGAGGGCAGGCCCTCTCCTGGGCTCCCCTGGCCAACTACGCCCAGAGCGGGACATCGCAAACAAAATTCCTCTTGGTCTGACTTCCAGCTCCTCACGCAGCTGCACCTCCTTACTTCCTCAAGCTCTGTCCTCCACGGGAAAGGACTTCTGAATGACAGTGCCTCCCGCTGCCCCTCAGCCTCGGCCTCTCCAGAAGAACCCGATGTTACCTGTTACAACCTGTGAGACATGTGAGATACGCTGTGGCCAACAGGCCTGGGACTGTCACCCGTGCCGTTCAGGAACCTGAACAGCCCTGGGGAGATGGGTAGACACCCCCCACCCATTCCTCTTTGAGACAGGCGGGTGCCAGTCACTGCCACCTGGTGAGGGGGCTGCCAGGCCCTGGGGACATTGCTTCAACTTCTGCTTCTGTGCAGGTGGGCCTCCTCGCTATGGGGACTGGCCCTCTGAGCCCAGCTTCAGAGGCCTGGGTGGGTTTGGAAAATGTGAGAGAGGCAAACGAAAGCAAGTTGAGGGTCGGTCTCATTGTAGCTACTTCCGAGGCCTCGTGACTATTTAAGGATCCATGAAGTCACCCCGGGCCTCAGCCTATCGCTCGGAGCCTGTCCCCTGCCCTGACTCCTGCGCTCCCTCCCCTCCCTCCAGACCCTTCTGTTTTTCAAGGAAGCCTCCCAGAGGAGCAAAATGGGGGGTTCCAGGGCTTCTGGAGATGCTTGGGCCAGGGGAGCAGAGGGGCCTGTCCCCCACTCTGAAAGCGCGGCTCATGGCCAGTGAGAAGAGGGACAGCAGCAGAAGGAGGCCGCGAGCCGCGCCGTCTGGCAGGGACCTCTTTTCTCCCGCTGGACAAATGGACAAATGGCCCGGCACCCTTCTCAGACAAGGGCAGGCAACTCTAGGCAGCCAGGCGACAGAAGTGAACACACCCCGGCCCAGGATGGAGAACTGGCTCCCAGGCAGCTTAGCAGGGTCCTGCCTCCTTCCACCCACCGGGCTGGCTGGACTGGGTTAGAATCAGGCCAGGCGCCACCTCAGGAATTTACTCCGTATCTTTAGAAACTCTCCTTCCTCCCCTTGCACCCTGGGCCCAGGGCCTGACAGCCACCGCGGTGCCAGAGGGGCCACCTGACTGCTCTCCTCCAACCAGCTCCGCGGGGTGACTCATGAGGCCCGGGCTCCCTCGGAAAGAGGAAGGCCACAGCGGCGTGAGGCCCGGGCTGACCTCGGGGACTCCAGCATGGCCCTTCCGGCCCCGAGCCCGCACCCACCAGGAAGACCTCCGACAGGCAGAGCTTTCAGTTTAAAAAACCAGAGGTTATTTTTAGCGATGTCCAGGGGCTGGTCGCAGGACGTGAATTCCTCAAGAGGAGCTGCAAAAGGAAATAACAGAATCCTCACGTCCCCACTGGACAGGGCGCCACGGGAGGCCGGAGGCTGTGCTGGGCATGCCCCTGTCCCAGCGGGGGAAGGGCAGCGTGTCCCACCAGGAGCCACAAGGAGGAAAATGACTGTCACCACATGGTGCTAGGGTTTTGCCTTTTAGAAAGTGCTCTCTCAGACACTCCGGCACTGAGTTGTGGACAGCACTCTCCTGCCTTCTCCACGACATACATGCACATTACGTTTAGCCTGACATCCATGCACCTTATTTAGCCCCATGTACATGAACATTATAGTCAGCCCGTGGCTACAGGAAGAAGGTCCTGGTAGCAGAGATAACATCAAAGGACAAAGTGTGAGGCTAAGATCAACCGTCTCACCTCCCTACCCAACATCCCAAGACAGGGTTTGAATCGTGAGTGGCTTTGTTGGTAGGCAGAGTTTGGGAACAAGTTTGGGAAAGTGGGCAAGTCAAGTCTCATCTCCCTTTCTGGGAGAGTGGGGATCCCTGCAGTACCGACCTCTCTGGCTGTCATGAGAGTAAATGAGATAACGCAGGGGAACCTCTTAGCCCGCTGGCTGGCTGGCACACTGAATGCTCAGCCTCTGCTCATTGTTACTATTTTCACCGAAGCCTCCCCAGGAGACCACACTTCAGGAATCCTGCCAGAGCCCCCGGCTTCCTTTTTTTGCTCATATTCTTTCTTTCCATGGGAATGGACACCGTGGGTAGACCTTTGATCCCCAGCTTTCCCTGACCCCGCGAAGGGGTTCAATCTGGGAAGCATGTGTCAAAGGAAAGAGAACAGATCTGAGGTGATCTTCTCTATCATACCACTGCACAAGTCCCAACATAGTCCCTCGGCCGCCTGCGGGGACGTTGGCAGAGGCACAGGATCCTGAGAGCTGAAATGGGGAAATTGGTCTGGTGGCTAGAAGGCATGCAGTCATGGGGGAGGAGGAAGAGTGGGGGTCTCAGGAGCTTTTGATTCAAATCCTGTCTGTTAGCCATGAGCCATATGGCTTTGGACTGGTCTCGCATCTCCCTGAGCCCATTTCTTGATTTTAAAATAAAGGGGGCTTGCAGGAGCCAGTTTGTAAGATTTCTTCTTTCAGATGAAATAATGCCTGGAGGCTTGCTTCCTTCAGCTTCTAGTCTGTGACTGAGACAGCTGCGGAGGTCCTTCCCTCCGACCTGATAAAGCTGGTTAGGTCAGGAATTCTCAACAGACCACCACAGTTGGGCCTGTTTCTCCCCCACCCCCCAACCCCGACTCCTCCATCAGCATCCACTTTGACCAGCCAAGCGAATTCATCCCATGGGGCTCAAGGTTCACCCATGTGGGAGCAGCAGGTGCTGGCGGAGTGGAGGCAGGAGGCGGCATGGTCTCCTGCAGGGCAGGGGTGGCAGGGAAGACGCCCACTCTACCTCAGGAGTGTGGTTTTCACAAGGACAACTGACTCCCACAGCAATTTGAGGGCCTCTGTGTTTCCATGCCAAGGCTGATGGAACCAGATCGCTGTTCCAAAGCAGGGCCCAGCTGGCAAGGATCAAGTCTCCTCTCCGCGTTCAGAGAAAGGGGGACGAGCCCCCTCCTTAGTACCTCTGACGAGAAGCCGTGCAGTGCAATGGTTAAATGCATGAACGCTGAGCTGCGATGCTTGGATAGCTGTGCAAACTTGGTCAAGGTCCTCAGCCATTCTGCGATGCTATCTCACTATCGGCATCAAATGGGATTAGTACTTGCATCTGCCTCGTGGGATTATTACGGTGAACTCAGTTAATACAGATAGAGCACTTGGAACAATGCCTGGCCCATCGTAAGTGTTCACCATTCATTAGTCTTTATTAGTAGTAATTTATTTGTCAATATTTCCAGCTCTTCACCTCCGTCCATTCTATGCTCTGTCTTAGAATAAACCGTCCATCCTCGATTTGGTTGAAGCCAGTGAGCATAGGCCCGTGAGTTTGCATACCTATTATTTTCTCCTAACTCCGATCTTCTGCTAATGTCAGCCTCCGGAGTTTCCACTCCACGATGCCTCCTGTTCCCCATCGCTTCTCCTCTGTCTAGTTCGTGAAGTCACTTTGTCACATGCATTCAAGTGCCAAAGCTTGTCTCTCCCTCACCCCAAGTCTCGCACCAGGACATGCGGCGGTGGGACGCTTGCCTTACCAGCGGAGCCTCCCGGGACATCTTACCCCGAGCCCTTCCGATGCCAAGCGGAGGCCACGACCGCCTCTGTGGGAAGCAATGTCACTGAATATTTTATTTGGGCGGCCCGATGACACCATCTCCCCGATCAGGATTCGGGGGGCAGGTGCTGGTGACAGCCAGTGGAGGCATCGGATACCTTCCCGACCAGCTGCTGCGGGCGTCAGTGGCTAAGCAGCGAGGAAGTGACAATCAGGCATTTCCAGTTCAGCTCAGTGCAGGGTTCTCTCCACCTGCCGACCCGCTCTGTGGCCTTGCCCAGGAGATCCGGGCACGCAGCTTTCACTTGTCCTTTTCTTATTGCAAAAGGCACCGCTCGGAAGAGGCGTTAGAGTCGGGATGTGATTTTGTCAAATTGAGTCAAAGTTCGTGAGAGTAGATCTCACACCCTTGGACCCTCCTGTAGCTCCGCCACCTCCATTCTGTCATGGCCGTCACCCCCGTCATCACCCCCGCCGTCCTGGCTAGGATAGTTTTCCTAATGACAGTAACAAGTGCCTACGATCATGACTGCCCTATTCAGTGGCTCACACAGCCAGCATCCTGAGGAGCCAGACTGTAAAGAGAAAGGCTGTAAGCCAGGGCAGGGTGAGCAGAGGGAGGTTCCCCCCCCCCCCCCATCTCCTTTCCAATCAGTAGCACCTTTAAAGCAGCCACTCGGGGCCCATGCTGAAGGCCATTATGATTATTCCAATCCATGACTTATTTTTAGGTGAAGAAACTAAAACCTTCGGAAAGGAAAAAACTGTCCCAAGTCAATCAGGGACAGGCTGCCATCAGAACTCTGCAAAAAGTCTAGCACTGCCTCCGTCATGGGGCAAAGGGGTCCTGAGAGTCAGTCACATTCTGCCTTGAGGCTGCCCTGTTTGGGGGAAAGAAAGTGCCTTGAATGATGATGGCCCCATGATGGGAGCTCTCAGAACGGCCCCCTCTGTGCTGGGGAGAAGGACTTCCCGGGACGGACTCTAGGCCCAGGAAGTCATCAGGGGCAGGAAGGAAACCTATGCCATGACTTGGGGGCTGGGGGGTGGGGGGGGCTGTGCCACACCCCTCCGGTTACAGACAGCCTGACAGGCAGGCCAGCTGGACTCTAAGCACAGGAGGCCTCTTCTCCCCGGAGTCAGAGCTGCAGCAGGAGGGACTCAAGGTAGATATTCAGGGGACATCCTATCCGGAGAGGATCCCGGGGGCAGAGCGCCAAGGAGATGATGGAATTTTCCGACAGTGAAGGGTCCCGACAGCTGTCTAGGAATAAGTTACCCAGAGGCAGGGAAGACTTCAGAAGTCTTCTTCTGCTTTAAGATGTCTAGGAGGATAAAATGTCTAAATGTGAGATCGGGGGGCCCCCAGGTTGTCCCCTGTGGGTGGAATGACCCCGAAGGGCCCGGCATAATGTCCTCTGCGTGGCTGTACATGCAAACATTCCGAGCGTCACTGTGTAACACCGACCTCAGAGGTAGTCCAGGCACGTTGGTAGCACAAGGTGAGCGAGAGGGCGCACACAGAGGCCCTGGGGAATGCCAGCAGCTGAAAGGCCTCAATTAGAGTGAAAGGCGTTATCTGGTATTTAAATAATTATTAGATTGAAGGAATAATCATGGGTTTGAGCTGATTTTTTCCCCACTGTCACCCTGATGGCGCCTATAATATTATTATTCAAATGCCCATGATTCTCACCGAGGAGAGACCATGAGAGAGAGAGGAGAGAGTGGGGGAGAGGGGTGGGGAATGGGGAGGGGGAGAGAGAGACTCATTTAATCTCCATGTGACAGGGCTGCAGGAGGTACGATTAGTCTTTTTCTTATTTCAGCTGTCACTCATGCACAGACACCAAGATTGTTATTAGCGTATTTTATGCACACGATTTAAAGGAAAAGGGGGGCGGGGTGGGGAGAGGGAGAATTTCCTACAGAAAATAATGGGACCAAAGGAACAATTTAGATGTCACTGCTATACCAGCTGCGTTTGCTTCATTAATCGAATGTCATTTTTCCCCCCAGACTCTGTGTGCTGTTATGTGAAGCTAAGTGGCTCTACCTCGCCCCGGAGTGAGAGAGAAGGAAGGCGAGGGAGACCGGAGGACAACGGGCCTCGGCCTACATGCCCTCCTGGCATCCTTCCCAGAGAAGGTGAACCCCATGACACTGGGGCACCCCAGTGTGAGCCAACACAACTTTTGGCGACCATGTCTATCCAGCTGCCCTCTCTCACCATGAGAAGAGACATCCCCTGCTTGTCTTTATATGCGATCCCTTTTGTTGGTCGATAAACCGGATCCGATCGCCAGTAACTGAGAAGTCAGAGAGAGAGAGATTCCGGGGGTGGGCCCCGACAGTCCGGCTCAGCAATGAGCCCTCGTGACTGTGGCTGCGGGTGGCTCTCTGCTCAGGCAACAGGCCCGGGACCCACGGGAGCCCATGGCTGCGCTGGACTCGACCTCTTAGCTGGCAAAATGGGCAGACGTGGGGTGATGTGCAGGGGCTGGGCGCTGGCAAGAAACGCAGAACGGCAGGTGTTATGGGTTGAACTGTGTCTCCCCCATCCCACCCCCCATTCATATGTGGAAGTCCTAACCCCCAGTACCTCAGAACGGGACTGCATTTGGAAATCATTTTTAAAGAGGAAATCGAGTTAAAATGAGGTCATTAGGGAGGGCCGTAATGCAAAAGGGGAATGTGGGCAGAGACGGAGACAGACCGCCCCAGAGGGAAGCAGATGTGAGGAGACACGCGGGGAAGATGGCACCTACAAGCCAAGGATGGAGGCTGATCCTTCCTTCCCAGACCTCAGGAGGCGCCACCCTGCTGAGACCCTGACTTCTTGCCTGCAAAACGGTGAGACAATACACGCTGCTATGGAAGCCACCCGCCTGTGCTACTTTGTTAAGCGGCCCCAGCAGACTGAGAGCAGGGAGGAGTAACACGTCCAGGCATCCTGGCTCCCAGATTGTTCTTTTAGAGAAAGGGGGAGGGGTGTGTGCACAGGGTCTAAACGCACATGCTCGTGCCCCGCGGTGGTGGGGTGCATAGATGTCTTGCCCCCTTTGTGAGGACCAGGATGGCACCACAGGCTTCCTCTTTCCCCAGAGGGCTCGCTTGCTTTGCCTCTCCCGGCTTTATCCCCTCGAGTCCTGGCTGGGCTCTCCCTGCAGAGGGTTCTCTCCTTTTTGCCTCCCCTGCCCGCTCTTCTGCTCCTGCCCAGCAGAGTCAGTGTGTCCGTTCCCAGACCCCAAGGGCCTTATGGAATATTGTGTGACTCCCAGAGCCGATGGCCCTCCTATCCCACCCCAGTTCCCGCCTGTGCCTGTCCTGGCCAGGGCCTTTTCATGCTGGGGAGGGTTTTCTGTTACATCCCCCCCTCCCGACCCCCAGGTCTCCCAGCGGGCTCGGGTGGAGCCCTGGAAACCGCACGGGTTCTCGCAGGGCCTTAGCAAAACACGCAGTGTTTGTCCTCTGCTCTGGCCGCCTGTAAAAGTTTGCAGTTGTCCCCCTGAATTATGAAGGGTTCTGAAGACGCTCACTTGAGGGGTGGCGCAGGGGAGGGGGCACTGGCCGGGCTGGCTTTGCAAAGTCAAAACAAGATTCATTACCCTGGGGCCGGGAGCAGGGAGATACACGCCTGACCCTGCAGACCTGCCCCATATGTCATGGGCCTGTCAGAAATCTCCCAGAATTCCCTTTATTATCTAAAGGTCGCCACCCGGGCAGCACTGAGAGAGCCCAGGGTATAAACTAAACTACAGGAGCAATCAATTTCAAGCAGCTGCCTTCCCCCCATCCTGCCCCTCCCCCTACCATGGCTCTGCTCTCTTCAGCCCCCTGTGGGGTCAGGACAGCCAGCAAGGAGGGCCTGCCCATGGACACCTCATCCCGGGGGGGGGGGGGGGGGAGAAAGAATTTCTGCAGGTGAGCAGGGCTCTGAGGCTAGGAGCAGTAGGCCCTAGGAGCGAGCCTGCTCTGGACACGGTGAGCTCAGAAAGGTCACCCCACTGCTCCCCTGACTCCAAGCCAGACCGTGCTTAAGCCATCCTGGTAGGGGGGCCGTCTGGTAGGCATTATGGGATTAAAGAACAGGGGAAAGAATGCTCAGGCTCCTTCCAAAATCAGGCCGAAGAATAAAAGTGGGGGTATGTGGCTATAGTCAAGTCCAAATTCATGCTAGGAGGCCTGGTACCCTAAGGGGACGAGCAGCAAAATCACAGCAACTCCCATTTGCTTCTAGAAAAAATCATAAATGTTATTATTAACGACCTGCTACATGGCGCTCTGTGCTAGACTGTTTGCATATGCAAGGGGAAATTTTGTGTTTATCTTGCAAGAAGGGTATTATTCTCCCATTTCACAGGTAGGAAATCAGGATCCCAGGGAGCTGGAGAGCCGCACTGGAATCATTCCGCCAGGACACAGAACTTTCTGGAGCCGCGCTATCCCCACTAATCCACACTGCCTTGAGAGTCAGCATTTATTTTTCAACCAAACCCTCTTATCTCTGGTCTGGAAAGACTCACTAAAATGTTAAGTAAGACTTGGCAAGTACCTTCTTTTAAAGGTCAAAACTTGAGGCCCCCACTTTGGTCCCGGCGCAGGGCTGGGGGTGGGGGTTGAGTTATGTGCTACATGGTGGAATCCAGGGGTGTCTCGAGGCGAGTGGGGTGCTAGCTGGCAGTCACCTTTCGGAGATATTCCAGTGACCTTTCCAGGGCGCCTGGAGATGCGCCTCCTGCTTTCTCACGCGTCCTCACTGTCCATGGCAGAGCCGGGAGTTGGAGGGAGACATGGCAGGAGAGCAGGCCACAGGGTAGAAAGTGCCCAACGAAATCGTTAAATAAATTACAGTTACTCCACATAATGGCATATTATGCTGCCATTAACCACTGTAATGTTTTCAAAGAATAATGACACAGCTCCAGTCCACAGCAGTGGGAGGCGGAGGGAGGAAAATAAGGGGGTAGAAACAATTCAAACAAAACGCCAGGCATTCCTCTCGGCTCCCAGGCAGTGGACTGGCCTCGAACTCACTGCCTGTCCCCAGAAGGTCTCCCCCTCTTTCTCCTCTTGAAGAAAACGTAATGGCCTCTGGGAGTCCCCGGGTGAGAGCACTTCCTGCTTCTCTTACAGACCCTCCCACCCTCCTGCTTCCAGGGGCTTCCATGGTGGTCCCGGCGGCCATCTGGGGACCCCTCATGCTGCTTCAGCCTAAGTCAGGGAAAGCGGCCATTCGTGCCAGGCCAAGGCTCATTGTTGAACACTGTCCACTTCCACAAGTCGGGGGTCCCCGGTGTTCAAAAGAGTGGGCCTCTTGACCAGCAAGCCTGGTGTCGCCTCCCTGAAAATGCACGGAAGACTGCACAGGGGACGATGGGCTAGGCGTGACCCCGGAGAAAGCCCTGGGCAGCTGTAGATACTCTGCCCGGTGTGCCTGGCTCTGCTTCGTTTCTTGTACCTCAGACTCCTTGTCTACCTTGGGCAGGCACACGGCCAGAGTGTGACGTCCACCCATGGGGGCACCTTCTATTGCCCAGATGGACTCAAAGCTGGACTCCTACGCACTCAAGTTCATGTCCTTCCCGAGCTGGCTCTTCTGTCTTTCTCTGCCTCTCTTCCCATCTCTCCCAGGGACTCCACTCCCAAGACACTGGCTCATGTGTCGAGTCCCCAGAACACCTTGGACAGTTGCACCTGAGCGGTCCCCTCTCCTGGGAACCCCTATCTCCACTTTCAGCGTTGCCTATTCCAACCCATCCCTCCCTCAAAGCCTCCTGAAGACTCCAGGTCCCCCATCACCCATCTCTCCTCCAAAGTCAGTTAGAAATGGCTGTTGCTAGCACACACTGCATTGCAGTGCTGGCTCTTGCAGACTATGGGACTAGGTCCCATCTCCCCACTGAACTGGAGGCTCAGAGAAGGCAGGGACAATACCTCATGCTCTTCAGCACCCCGTGCTGGGCTAGCCCAGTGCCTTTCACTCGGTCTGAATCCCGCGGAGCAGAGGAGAAGGGAGACGGGACTATTCAATGCCTTTTCTCAATTGCTGGCCTGACCTGAGATGCGGTTGAACTCCCACGCCCAGCTCAGTGATTTGTCATAAGGGCTCTTTGGTGGAAGTGAAGAAGGCAGCGAACCGTTTGGGAAGGATCCTGCCGATTATTCCTCTTGAAGCCACAGGGTGGAGAGCAGTCTCACTGGCCAGGTGGGTGAGGTGGGGAGAAGGATGGAGAAGAACGGGAAGACACCAGTCTGCCTTTGAAAACTGCCCAACGCAGACTGGGCTTGTGCAGGAAGAGTCTTGGCAAGAGAGCCCTGAAGCCACAAATCGTACAATATCATAGGTCACATGGAAGTATGTGATATGAAAGGGTCAACGGACAGCAGGAAGCGGTCAGGAGCAGAGTGGGGTGGGTGAGACTCCCCAGGAAGTGTTCAGAACAGGGCTCGCTGACAGGGCCAGGCTTGCATTGGTGCATGTAGCCAGGCAGTGGGTGCACAGAGCAGACTCTGGGCTTCGGAGACAGTCCCGGGCCCCAGTCTTGCCCTATCACTTTCACTTGATGACCTTGAATTGTTATTTAACCTTTCGGAGCCTCAGTTTCCTCAGCCACAAAAGGACACCTCGCAGGGTTGTGGTGAGAATCACTGAGATGATGGATGTGAAAGTGTTTTTTCTGTAAACTCTGCAGGTCTGAATAAACACCAACGACTCGCATTTCTGTTTTTGGAGAAACACGGTTCAAGGAAATCATCTCCTTGGCGATGGCAGCTGCCCCATATGATGGCAACAAAGGCTGGGGGCTCCGTTTCAGCCAGGTGAGGGGAGATTCTTGTGCCGGGGAATGTGGTCGCCCAGCTCCCAGCCCCTAGGGATGCTGAGAAGGAACTGGGTGCTGCTGGTCCCTAGTAGCCATTCTCCCCAGTCCCTTCGGCCCCACACAGTCCAGATTACCCCACTTCTGCTGCTCTTGTGAATCCTCCAGGGACCCTTGGCAGGGAAGAGGGAGGAGAGGAGGAAAGAGGAAGGCCTTCCCCCGGGAGGAGGAGATGCCCAGAACAGTTTCGCGGGCTGGAGCTCCGCATCCTGGGTCTGGCCAGCTCCTGGGATGAGCTTCCCCTGCCTTATCCTTTCCTGCCTCTCCTCCTCTCCGGTGCCTTTCCGAACCGACAGCCAAGCCTTCGAATCAAAAGCTAACTCCTTTTTTATGAGGGAGCTTTTTTAAGCAGCCTGTGTCCCCGCCCTGGACCGCCCCACCTTCGGTTTCTATTATTTTTCTCTCTGTCTGGAACTCTGAGTTTTTGCAGAACAGATCCTGAGCCGTCAGCAGCCTCTGTGAAGTGACAGGGGAGCTCAGTCACAAGCCGCAGCAGGGCAAGTGCTGCGGGGCTGGATAAAAGCCACCCTGGAGATGGCTGGGTGGCTGGCATTCCGGAGGGAGGGGCAGAGCTCTGTCCTGGTAAGGAGCTGGGCTGTGCCAAGATGCACGCACACTGGCCTGCGCCTGCACCAGGAGCGGCATCGGCCCCTGGGTGAGCGTGCAGAGCAGAAGAGATGTTTGATGTCTGGGACCCCAGCCCTGCAGCCCAGGGAAAGTGAAGGGAGCAATTACCGGAGCCTGACACAGGGGAAGAATGTGCTGGAGGGAAGGCAGGGGGAGGCGGTGGCCAGTGCAGCGGGGCACCTGGGGCAGAGAGATGAAAAGATCTCCCTGAGTGGGAATCTGGCCCCGTGATGAATGGGGTGTGAGAGAGGAGTCTGCAAAGGGATAAACAGCCAGGAGGGACGCAGGAGGGAGGGAGGGCTGAGGGGAAAGAATGTTGAGGTCAAAGAGCAATGCCGAATGCTCCTGGAATGATTGAATCAAGATCCAGCATGTCGCACACCCGGTGGGATGGGTGCTGATGTGCACACAGACATGGGGCCCTGCCCCCCGCCTCAGCCCCCACCCCTGCCGAGGGGTGAGCAAGTCAGCTCTCCTCCCAGACACATTCAGTGCCCCCTGAAACCCCCGCCCGCCCCCGCCCTGCCCCATGGCTAGTTCTGAGGCCCCAAGGGGAGCCCCCTGTAACATACACTAGCATTTGTGCAGTGACCGAGTTTCACTGTTCGCTACGAATTTCATGTATGTTTCCCCATTAATGCACCCCCCCCACCCAAGCCAGTGAGGGACAGGGCAGCGTCAGCGTCACTTTTCACAGGTGGGAAGTCTCGGGTGTCTTAGAGGTGAAGTATTTTGGCAAAGGCACCAGGTGTGGAACCAGGGCTTGGACGTGGGCTCCTGGAGTTAAACGTATCATCCTGCTTCGCTGCCGCCTGGAGTTGTAGGGGCCACCACCTGACACCTCCAAGGAGAGATCACTTACCCCAGACATCGCTCTCGGCTCCCGCTGGGCAAGGCTCTGCCCCTGCTCAGGACAGACTCTTTGGGAGTGGGGGTGGGGATTAGGAGCTCAGCTCAGAGTTGGGTTCTTGGGGACCCCCTGTGAGAGAGGCAAAGGCCATTCGGCTCCTACTCAGACCTGACTGGTGGGAAGGAGGGCTGGGAAGGGCTGAGGACTGGAGTTGGCCCCCGGGGCTGCTCAGGAGATGGCAGATAGAAAGAGCCCAGAGGCAGGACTTTGTAGGGAGAGAGGCTGGGGTGCCAGAGTCCTCCTTCCTATCCATGAGGCAGAACACTGGCTGCCCACCACCCCTCTAAAGACTATGACATTTCCTTAGCCCCTGCTGGTGGCCCCAGCGAGCAGGCAGCTCCGACCTGCCACCTCCTCCCCACCACACCCCCCACTCACGTCCTCCCTGCTACCCTGGCCCTGCCGCTCTTCAATTTCCAACCCCTGGCAGATCACTGATTAATTCAGGGCTGTTTAATAACCCTTCCATTTCAATGAAACAAGCTGTCTTGTTTTCTTTATTTTTAACACCGACTTGCGTTTCTTTGCTAAGCATCTTACTGTCATTTAAATTTCTCTGTCTCCAACCAAGCTGATAATAGACTGGAGCGAGCAGCTGCTTCCCTCCCGCTTATGACAATGATTAGAAGTTAGAGCAGTGCCGAGAGCTGACCAGCCTCGGTTCAGAGGGTCTGCCCCTGCTTGTAGAGGGAGTGCTCATTCTAACGCGATTAGGAGAATTCTGGCTCCCGGCGAGACCAAGGCTTACCCTGGCCTAGCCTGCCGGGCACCCTGTGCCGCTGAGGGGAGCTGTCGGGATGAAGGTGTGAGAACCAGCTCTGTTTACGATAGCATTAAGGCCAGCAGCTGCAGGCCTGACACTCAACTTCACTTGTCAACTTTGTCTTCCTTGAGTTTACTGAGCAGCAAACAGGGAGACTCAAGGTTAGAGGACTGGGAGGCGGGTGGCAGTCTCAGCCATCAGCTATTACACCTTTCTGCTCCACACAGGAATCCCTTTACTTAAAAAAACAGATTTTTTCTGATTTCAGAGAGGAAGGAAGAGAGATAGATAGAAACATCATTGATGAGAGAGAATCACTGATCGGCTGCCTCCTGCCCGCCCCCTACTGGGGATGGAGCCCACAACCCGGGCATATGCCCTGACTGGGAATCGAACTGTGACCTCCAGGCTCGTAGGTCCATGCTCAACCACTGAACCACGCTGGCCGGGCAGGAATCCCTTCTTAAGACCTGGTCCACAGCTTCCGACCTCTGCCTGAGTTCTCCAAATGAGGCGGAGCTCACACCCTTCCCAGACGGCCCTTCTGGGGGTGGAGGGCTCTGGCCACCTCTCCTCGGTCCTGCAGCACTCACACCGAACGCGGGTAATAGCATTCATGTGCATACCCTTTCTTCCCTGGCACACTGCACGGTCCTCAAGAGCCAGCACAGAAACGTGCCTCCCTCCCGCAATACCTGGCACATAGTAGATATTCAACAAACATTTGCCCCATCACATGAAATTATGGTCAGTCTCCTCGCAAGTCCTGGGCCCCCCCTTCTGCCTGGGCAGGCCCCTGGGGAAGCTTCTAGTTTTCCTCTACCGGGACAAGTGCCGCCCCTTCCTGTCCTCAGGCCAGAAATGCCTGCGTCCTCAGGAGCCAGGTCCCTTCTCTCTCCCCCCAGGCTCCAGGGACAACAAAGCTAGAGAAAAGCTTGGCCAAGGAAACTGGAGTGTCGGGTGGAAGCCAATCAAAAGGCCTGGACCAGGCCCTCTGGATCCCAGCTCTCCCCCATTCCCTCTGGGTTGGGCCTGGCTGCCTGAGAAAGTGCCCAGGTGCGAGGTGCACAAAACCTGGCTGGCCCAAGGCGCAGGGATGGGGGGGGGGGGGGGGGCGGGGCTCCCAGCTGGCAGTCTGCAGGCAGCTGCTGGGGTCATTGTCTCACCCTCTCCTAGTGTGAATGCTGAGCCTATAGAGACCGAAGCACAAACAGTGTCCACAGGGCCTCTTGTGAAGGGAGGGGTGCCAGAACCATTGGCTGTGCAAATATCAAGACCTGCTGTGCCTGGGGGAAAGCTGGTGGGGCTATTGAAGAGAAGGGGAACTTCCTACACCATCCTGCTCCTGCCCAGAGCGAGAGGCTGTCCGTGTGTCCTAAGGGCCAGGGGACTGGCAGAGAAGGGGAGGGGTCAGCTCCAGGGGATCGCCACTGTGAGGTGCCTGCCTCCTCTGGGCATGAGGTCAGGGAAGGAGAGACTGGAAGAGAAGGTGGCTCAGTGGGCAGGTCGAGAGGGTGTGCTGGGCGAGGCTGGGGCCAGCAAACCTCCTCGAGATGAGAGCAGAGCCTGGCCACTCGCCATGTGACGCAGGGCGCTCCACTCCCCCAGTGTGGAGTTGGGTTTCACATCTATTATGTGGGCCCGGGTAAAAGCTGCTAGGAAATACGCAGAAACATTTTCCCCAAGTATTCTACACAGAACACCTATTTCCTTGGTAGTTCAAACGTTTTTTAAAATAATATGTTAGAAAAGAAAATGAAGGCACCTCACACTCATTTCCCACAGCTGGCTCTTGGGCACTGCTCTGAATGCATACGACTCGCTCCTCTGAGAGCCGCCTTCCCACGCTCCGCACGTCCAACAAGGGACGGGCCCTTGTGCATCAGCTGGGAGGGCAGTGGGCAGCTCCTTGGGCTAGAAGACAGCCGATGTGTCCCCCAAACCTCCTGCTACATTCTGACCAATGATGGGAGCCGGCTGAGGATCTAATCCCTGTGCCCCAGGGTCCCGCTTGGGCCCTGGGACGCAGCGCCTGCTAATGTCTTCCCGTCGGGCCATATACTGAAGGCTACTGATTGATGTTTCTCTCTCCCTTTCTCTCTCTCTCTAGAAATCAATAAAGACATATCCTCAGGAGAGGATTTAAAAACTAATGCTAACCAGGAGCCACGCACCAGTGGCCTCCCTCTCCGTTTCCAGTCTCCACTGAGTCTTCAGCCTTTTATCTATCTTTATATATAACAACCTTCAGCACACAGATCTTCTTTAAATAAAATCTCCTTTTTTTTTCCTCAGAAAGTCCCAAACAAATTCAGAGAAAGAGAAGAACTTGTCCCTAGCTTGGCTTCGTTCCTGCTCTCAATTTTGAGATAGTTTTGCACGCTTGCAACAATTGTCCTTTTTCCAAATCCCCCCCACCATCTTGCTCTGCCTGGCGCCAGGCACAGAGGCAACTGGGGGACGTGGGGAGACCTGAAAAGCAGTCATTCCCACCACACAAATGGAGAAGCTACGGTGCTGGGTACAGGGCAGGGGCCAGCTCTCCCAGGGTGGCTTGTGGCTCTGTCTCCTCGCCCTCCCCGGACCCGGGAGCAAATGGTGGGGAGGTGAGAAATCCTTCAGGAAGAAGGAGGAGCTCAGGTGTGAAGGTGGGCCCTTTGTGCTGGCCCATTAGGACCCTATCTGACACCAGCTTCTTCCTGGCCATCTGTTGGGACACTTTGCGGTGGGACCCGACCTCCAGCACCGGGGTGAGAGCACGGCTTCCCAGCCTCGCAGGCTAGTCAGATCCTTTTCCCCAAGCCTCTCACAGCTGGGTCCTGGGCCACTCCCAGTGGGCGGCAGACTTGAATTTTCTTAATTTCCGGATGAACCTCAGGGGGGTGTTTGCCTAACAGAAACCCTAGTGGTGTGGTTTGAGTTCCACGGAGAGTCCAGGGACTTGTCAGGATGGACGAGTCAGCTGGAGCAAAGGGGAGGGAGGGGGGCAGTCTTGTCAGGGGACTGTGACATCCTGACCCCCTCACTCCTGGAAAACACCGCCCACCGCCAGGTCCTGTCTGCTTTGGGCTGGGCCCCCCATCCCGTGGAGGACCCCAAGTTCAGAGAACAGGCTCTTCGCCCTTGGGTACCTTTGTTACTCAGAAGGACGGAGAAGCTGGGGCAGCAATCAGGGGAGGTGGGAGGTCAGAGGCCAACGTAATATTTACCCAGCCCCGCGAGGTCTCTGCTTTTATGAAGCAGGAAAGCGCTTCAAAGCAGCAACATCCCCTCTTGCCACTTGTCTGCCCCTGTTCTCCTGCCCTTCGGGGCAAGCCCGGTAGCTTTCCCAGCCCTTCCTCTCCTCCGGAACTTCCCACCCTCTCTCCCTTGAAGGGAGATGCCCCTGCCCTGCTTCCTCATCGGAGAGGGACAAGGACTTGCCCGGGGTTGCAGAGCAATTCCAAGGCCTGGCTTCCCCTGGCATTTGGAGCCCGGCTTGGATTTCTCCTGTTTACTCTGAGTGAGTCATCCATCGACTCCCGTGGATGGAGGAGAGAGAGGGGCTGGGCCCCAGTTCCTCATCCGAAGCTGCAGTCCAACCCCCAGAGCAGGACCCAGCAACATGGGGGGTATACTAGGCGGTGTACTGGTTCTTTCCATTTTTGACTGGGGTCACAAAGCCTTCAGAAATATACAGAGATCTCCGCCTACGTCTAGAGAGCATTCACTTGTCAGGGTGTCACAAAGGCGGCTGAAGGCCCACGCACGCCCCTGGTTCTGTGCATCCTGGTCCAGGGGCCTCCGGGACCCCAGACTGGATTAGAGCACTTCAAGGAGACAGGAGAGCCCTACCTTCCAGGTTAAGATCAGAGACAGTTTGTAAACTGTGCTGAAGCTGGCCTTCCCCCTAACCTCCCTCCTCGCATCCTTCTCTGCCTTCTTTCTACAGAAACTTCGGGGTTCCTTCTCCAGGGAGCAGGGGGCAGGGGTGGCTGGGAAGTGCCTCTCTGTTCAGCCAAGGGGCAGGGCTACAGTCTGGATTTTCTCTCTGGTGGGATCCATTCAGTGAGTTCACTGGGATCAGAGAGGGTGAGTAGCAGCAGGATTCTGGACCCTGATATGCGAGCACAGATGAGTAATAACATGTCCGGAAGGACCGCCCCAGCCAGCTCCAGGGGACCGGAAAGGGATGCGATTTACATAGAATACAATGTGAAACCCTAGGGAGTGGGCCTGGAGACCTTGCTCTAGGACTCTGACTAATAGAAAACAACCCCAGTGTCCTCCCTTTAAAGTCTGTGGAGGAGAAGGAGGGGAAAGAATCCTTAGGGGCAGGTCTTAGAGGCTGAGGAATGAGAGGTTAGTCATTCCCAGCCAGCCACTTTGAAGTCCTCAGGCACCTGAGTCTCTCTCCTGGCCTCTCGTTATCAGCACTGGCTGTTTCTGGCTCATCTCCAAGGCACCTTGTATGGCCTAGAGCAAGGGCTTCCAGAAACTTCTGCCCTTTCACTTCCTGAGGCCCAGTGCCCAGTGGCCTATGTTCTGCCTTATGCTAAGGCTCTCTGGGGGACACTCGGCTTATGTCCGTCTCTCTCCCCCCTAGGATACTGTCCACTTCTTAAAGGTAGGACCTATGACATTTCCCTTCTGTACTGGCTGCTGCGACATGCCTAGCACTGCCTACGTGGTCAATTTCTGCTGGTTTCACGGACATGGATCACAGTCCCTGCTTTCGGTGTCTGCTGTTCGCTGCAAGGGCCGGCAGCGTGGGGTACAGCTCCAATGTGAGGGTTCATGTTGGAGGGGATGTTCATTCCCTCCATCCCTCCATCTCCCAACTAAGGGGGGAGGGGAGGCTGTTTCAATGCAAAGGGAGGAAGCCCCTGGGTGTCATTCCTGGACAGTGCAGGCAGCCCTGGGGTGCCCATTGGAGCACGGGTGTTAGGGGCACAGGAGAGAGGTTCATTGACGGGCTGTTCACCCTGGGCCCCAGGACCCCTCTCCCTCTTCCTTCTCAAACACCGCTGAACTTTCCAACCGCCTTATCTCGCACACCGAAAGCAATTTCAGCCAAGGAAAAGCAGGATTAAACTTTCAGAACACGATACATTTATCTTGTTTTTCTTGTCTCTCTCCCCCCGCCTCCTCCCCTCCTTGACCCCAGGTCAACGTGCACCAAAGGGAAACCAAGATGAACTATCAGGGGCTGGTATCAGGTCTGAGGAGATGCTACACTCTGGCCCCCTGCCCGCCCCGCGTCCATATTTCTGCACACCCTCTCAGGCAGTTATTATCTCCCCGATGAGAAAGGCCCTCTCCACATTGTCCTGCGCGGAAATGAAAGGGGGAATTATCATTCAGAGAAAGGCTCCCACAGAGAACATGAAGACCGAGATTAAATCAGCGATGCGCCCTGGACAGGCCTTCCGTTCCCGAAAGATCTTTTGAAAACAGTCTCCCCAGAAACAGTTTTGCCACCACCTGGGCGGGTTTCGAAAGTCCTCGTGCAGGCAGGGAGTTGGAAGGAGGGAAGGCATGTGAAGGCGCCTTGGGGATGGGCCAAAAACTTTTATTGCTGATAAAGACAGGCAAGGGCCTCTTGGCGGGCCGGCCAGCAGACTGAGTGCTGCTAACTCGAGAAGGCAGCCCTCCTCCCCAACCCTCCTCCCGGCCTCACACCCCCAGGCATCCTGTCCGGACAGGCTTCTCCCTGGCTGCTCCCCACCCTGGGGCGCCCTGCTTAATGCTGCAGGCGCCTTTTCCAGTCCCCAGCAACCAGACAGGGCCCCGAGGTCCCCCTGGCAATGGGACTCTACCAGTTGTGGTCTCTGGGTAGTGACAGCTGGTAGTTTCTAATATATCTCATCTATTTTTTTCTTGTCTTAAAAAAGAAAAAAAAGGCACAAAAACCACTGTTTAGATCCAAGCCTGGTTTTCAAGAGCCCCCTCTAGTGGCGATAACCTGCTACTTCAGCCTCCCAGTTCACCCAGAGGAGCCTCCCCCTCCCTGGGAAGATAGGAAGGAGCCCCCATTTGCCTGGAAGGGTCTTTGCCACGTGCTTTCTGCTTTAGCTCTCAGCTCTTTCTGCTCCATTCACACTGTCAGTCTCTCTGTCTTCGCCGTCCCTTTCTGTCACCTGCTTCTCTCCGTCTATCTGTGACTGTCTATATCAGGCCTTGGGTCTTTTGTGGTGCGCCCAGACTGCTGCATCTTTGGTCCACCTGCTGGACACCAGGTCTGGTGAGCTGGAAACCCTCTGACAAGGCCTCTGATTGAATGACCTAATCTCAGAGGCCAACACAGGGACCCTTAAGCCAGACCCACAGCGAGAAGCACAAGGAAGACCGAGGAGAATGGAACTTGGGCGTCAGCTGCCTTCCGCAGCCCTACCCCCAGGGACACCTGGGCTGACTCATGTGTGAAGTGGTCTAGAACCTGGGCTGGGAGTTCCTGCTCTGGAGCCCAGCGTGGAACCAGCTCCTGACTCTCCCCAGCGTGCTGCCCGCCTCCTGGCCTCTGCCAGTACCCTACCATGCAGACAACTAACGGGCAATACCATGATGGAGGGCCAGCTGGCAGGGGGTGTGAGGAGGGTGCCAGGGAAGAGGGGGAGAAAAGGCCCGGACTAAGCCTGGGGCTGGAGCTGGCAAGGGGAGACAGAGTGGATATTCTGCTGGGGCAAGAGGGCCGCAGGGAGCACCTGCGAGTCCTCTGGGTTTCCGAGGATGTCCTCACCCACGCAGGAGATGTGGCCAGGCCAGGGCCGGGGGTTAATGGTTAACCAGCTGAGAGAGCAGGCACTTTTGCACTGCTCAGGCCTAAGCCTTTCCTTTCAGCTCCCCCTCCTTTCTTTACACTCTTACCCAGGAGGGACCCTGCTCCCCAACAAAGAACTTTCTCGCCTCTATTTCTGCCCTCAGTTCCAGATGGGAGAGTCTGGAGCGAGATAAAGAAGTTCCATATGCCCCATGCCAGGCAATGGACCCCCAGGAGAAAGGGAGGGGGTCCACTTCTGACCATCTCACCCTCTCTTGGGACCAGCTGTTTGACCCTGGGAAGCGCGGCCTTTCTCTCTCCACAGGGCTCACCTTTAGAAATGACCAGAAGAGAAGTGGACACACACCCGCCCTCATTTACTTTAATCGGGCATGAAATCTTTGTCACTAAGTGAAAAAACTGTTTCCCATAAGGGAATCGGGCCCATTCATCATTGTTTGAACGGAGCATATGTGCAGGGGAGAAACAGAATATTCCCATATAATGAATTGATAACAGACTGCCCCTGGGCGAGGGTGGTGGTGATGGGAGGGGTGCACATGAGCTATAAAACTACAGCACCTCCAAGCCCGGTTCTGCATTTCCCCGTGGACAGCCCTGAATTATTTGTAGTTAACAGACTGTAACACAATGCTCCAGTCTCTTTATGGTCAGAATGGGGGTGGGGGTGGGGGGCTTGGCTGGGAGCTCCCTGCCTCCCCGTTGGCCATGATGGACAGAAGTATATTGGGCCCCAGCCTGTGTGTATGGGGACAGCTGTGTGGCAGCAGACAGACAGCTGGGGGCGGGGGCTGTTGCTGCTGGAGACAGGAATAGTCTCCCCTCACCAGACCCCCTGTCTTGAGGACGCAGCCAGAGAAAAGGAGGCAGGAGAGAGACTATAAAACCCCAAACAGTGCCAACTCCAGAACCGTAAATATTTCATAGCACCTGAGCAGGCGGGCTCGGGCTGCTGCCAGCTGCTGCCCTGTATATTTAACTGTGTCACCGGTTTCCCTCCCGCTCTGTGCGTTTCCTTGTAACGTGCCCATGAAATACAGATTAACGGAATCATCAGAAGTGTGTGTAGATGGGAAAGAGACCTAAGAGAGAAGGGGCTGCTCTTTGCGGGTTTTCTTCTCAACCCTGTTGGAAGCGCAGACTCCAGTAAAACGGAGGGTGAACTTTTACGTTTCCCTCACCTGCAGCTTCAGACGGTCAGCAGGGTGAGAGGGTGAATGGCCCCTGGCGCTTTGGGGCCAGGGCCAGGTAGTCAGACCAGCCCTGAAAGGGGGCCAGTGACCTTGTCATGACACGGCTGCTTTTAGGCAATGGACATGCAGCACCACCTTTTACTCCTCCTTTAGACTTGGGAGCCCAGCCGGCCCCCTGCCCTGCTCCGGGCTGTGAGAGGATGACCGACCCTATGTCCTGCCAAAGGAGAGGCCAGGTGGGACCCCCTTGTCAGACTTGGGGTCCCTGGGCAGAGGAGACCTGCCGGTACTTTGCCAGGTCGGATTTTGCTGCTCCGCGGCACCACCATCTCCACTGCCCATAGCTCCAAATGTCATTCCCATGCAAGAGCATTGCCAGCCAACTTGCCCCATCCGAAGGCAATTTGCAGAAGACAGTGAGGGAGCAGAGAGGGCCGTGTGCACACCCCTCCTTTATCAGCGGGACCCTGAGGAGGGTCCGCTGGGGGATGGAGGGAATGGCTCCCTTAGGGAATGCTCCTGGGTGCGGAAGGGTTGGGGTGAAAGGTAGAGACTCAGGTGGAAGAAGGGAAAAGAAACACCACCTGGCTAGGGCATCTTGACAGATGCTCCTTCAGTTTCCCTGGTCCCCTCCCCTCTCTCCTCACTCCCCCACCCCCACTCCCCAGACCAAGGAGGGGAGATCACTGGTAATTATTTCACTTGGTGCTTAGAGAGGTGAGGGGGAAGTTCATGGATTCTTCTCTCTTCCATCCAGGAGGCCAGAGGAGAGAGGGCTGCTAGCAACTCCAGGAGCTTTCTGGGGTGAGCGCATAAAACTTGTGCATTTCCATCCAGGAATAGCTCATTCCTCCTGCCAGAGCTACCTCTTCCCTGGGCTCTGTGGCTCCGTTGAAGGCCCCAGAATTCATAGCCCGCCCAGAGGGAAGAGGGGAGTTTCAAGGTCTGAGAAAGAAGCCCAGAGGTGTGGGTTGGGGGGAGGGGGGAGCCTGCTATCATCATCCCAGGAGGAGAGAGCTGAATTTGACTCTCCTCCTGAAATGTCCAGCCCAGTGCAGATACTCATAAATCTTGTCCACTGCACTCGAGGATACAAGTCAGAGAATGAATGGGTCCCCAAATTTCTGCAGGTTCCTACAAACTGCTGGATCCCCCAGCCACTGCCAAGATCCAGCTGGCAGCCCGAGGCCCTCAGACTGGCCGTATTGTCTGTCCCTTGCACAGCCACTGCCGCTATGTCACTGGATCCCCACAGGAGACTTGGCCATATTTCCACTGCCCACCTCAGGGGGCTCTCACTGTAGACTCTTAACCGGCCTAGAACCCCAAGTCTTGTACTCCCCACCCCCATTATCTCTATCACCCAGGACCTGAGTTTGAGTAGGTAACTCCTTTGGCAAGGGTCATGCTAAGTGGACGGACATTTGTCCGGGAGCTGAAATGACAGTTTTTGGGGACTCTCTCTGGCCATCCAGCCCAGGACTAACATTTAAGGAGTCTACCTGTGGGATGGCTCCAAAGGGCTAGAATTTTCTAAGGTCCCTACATCACTTGGGGGGGGGGGGCGGCGAGAAGGCTCCCGTTGGTCCTGGGCAAGCATCTACTCCAGTTCCCAGCCCGCGCCTCTGCCCACGCCCAGGGCAGGTGCCCATTGGTGCGCACCACGAGGGCGCGCGGAGAGGGCATGGGGGCGCCTCTCCCCGTTCAGCACCTCGGACTGGCTCCCTGAGCCCCTGGAGCCCGCGCAGCTTCCTCTTCCATTCCCCAGTCAGTCCCCTGATCCCCAGGAACAGCCGCCGGCCGCCAGGGACTCTGGCCCGGGAGTGAACATCCCCCCGCCCCCTGGCCCCCCGAGTCGAGCGCTGGCCACAGTGGCCTGGGGCTCTCTTGCTCTCGTGCCACCTCTGCCCACACTGACCCCAGCTCTCGGGACAGCCTCGCCGCCCCCGGGCTCCCCGAAGCCGCAGAGCCCGGCAGGTGCGCGGGGAAGGCGCGCCCCGGAGCGCCGCGGCCACCGGCAGCCGGCGGCGGGGGAGCCCGAGCTGCCAGGGCTCCGAGTCCGCCCGCGGACTCGCCCGTCGCCGCCGAGCCCGGGAGCCGGGGGCCGGGACCCCGGAGAGGCGCCTGGGAGCCGGAGGAGCCGGCGCGGGGCGGCCGGGTGTCTGGGGAGAGAGGGCCGAGGGCGCCGGCGACCGGAGCGCCGCTTACCCGGCTCCGCGGCGTCCGTCTGTCCTGGCGTCTCCGGTCCGTCCGCCCGCGCCGCCGAGGCCCGCAGCTCGCAGTCACCGGGAGAGCCACGTCCACATGGAGTCCACATTCACGAAGACCCCCGGCCACTTCTCTGTCTTCTCGGAGCGGCCCCTCGGTCTCCGGGGCGCGCGCCCCTCCGTCCCCGGGCGCTGGCCGCCGGCTCGCGGGGGACCCGGGCGGCGCCGAGGGGGCGTGGGGGGTGGCGAGGGGTGGCGGTGCCGGTCCTGGGGAAGCGGCGGAGCCCAGGCGGTCCTCAGGTTTTCCCAGCGCGACTTTCCGGGCGCCTCTGACATCAGCAATCTCGGCGCTTCCTTCCCTTGGCTCGCCAGGTCCGCTCACGGTCCCATTTCCTCCGGGAGCCGCGCTGGCTCGGGCTGCGGGGAGGTCCGCCGCGCTCGCGCCCCCCGGCTCGCGGGGGCTCCCTCCCCGGGGCTCGCCCTCTCGGCTGAGGACCGCCGGCCCCTGCCCCGCCGCCTCCCGCTCCCGGCTGGCGAGGACGCCGCTCCGCTGCTCCGGCTGCTGGGCTCCCGCGGCGGCGGCGGCGGCGGCGCTGCTCCGCGCCCGGCCTCCCTCCCTATATTACCAGGCGGCTCATTATCATAGAGGCCGCGCGCCTTAACCCCCTCCCTGCCGGCCGCGCCCGCCGCTGGCACCGCCCGCCGCCAGCCCCCGGCCCCCTCCCCGCCCTCCCCGACTTCCTCCCCCGCCAGCTGTCAACAAAGGAGAAGCCCGTTTGGCATCGGGAGGCCGCCCCTCTGCCCTCCAGGCGCCCGGCTCAGCCCGGCCCCACCGGCCCCCTTAAGTGCCAAGGGGGCAGCGAAAAAAATCCTGCCGGGGCCTGGGAATGCGGGTGGAGGCTTGGCCAGCCCAGCTGGCTGCGCCCGGGGCGCGGGGAGAGCTCGGGACCCAGGCCGAGGGGGTGAGGGCCGCGGGGACAGGCACTCCCCCACCCTGAGCATCACCGGTCCCCGCGCACAGCCCGCACACCTCCCTCTCCATCTTTCATTTGCGCGTGGGGTGAAGTGGGGGGAGGGAGGAACCGGCCTTGGCTGCCAAGGTTGACACTGGGGGGTCTCGGAATCTGTGGGAGCAAATTTCTTCTGCTGGTGAATCTCCGAAAGCCAACAAGCTGTCAAATGAGATTTGAAGTTGTTATGAATTATTATTTTCATAACGCAAAGATGAGTCTTGCTCGGAATCTCCAGCTTCCAGCTCTTGGGGGTCCCGGGCCTCTGGCGAGCGGAGGGGACCGGAGGGGAGCTGTCTATACCCCGACCCGGCGCCTGCCCGGCGGGGGAATCTGAGAGGTGGCCTTAAGACAACTTATTTTAATAACCTCAGGTGAGAGGTTTCTGGGTTCCGGGTGGCCATGCCTCGGCGCCCTTATGACCACTGATTACGCCCCGTGAAGGGTCTGGGTATCTCTGGACGCGGCTGTCGGAACCGAACCGGGCCTGCAAGCCAGACCCCGGCGAGTTCCCGGGGTCTGCGTAGTCCCTGCTGGAGATGAGAGCACGGGAGAGTTTACTGGGCACGTCCGAGTATTCCGAGAAACTCCCTCTACTGCCCTCCCGTGGCCACAGTCTTCAGTGGTAAAAATAAGGGGGAACATTGACTCCTGAAACCCCAGAGTTGCCTGAAATTCCCAAAGCAGCAGGGGCCTGAAAAAAGAAAAAAAGAAAGAAATGAAGACTCACCTGTCATCTTGCACAATTGTCCATTCGATACCGGACTGGGGGCAATCCAGGCTTTACTTCATCTACAGAAATTAGCTACTGATTCAAAAACGCTTTCTTCGTTGTAATGAGCTGAAATTTGTCTCCCTGTCACTTTCACTGGGTATTATTCCTTGTTATGTCCTGTGGAGCCACAAAATAATCTAAGCTGTTTTCCCTGACCCATACCTGTTCTCTTCTGTGAACTTCTGCAGCATTTATTGTTGGCACCCCTCCAGGCAATTACCATAAATTACCCTATATTATTATTAATTTCTCCTTATAAGTAGATCTTGTCTCCCCATCCAGACAGTCTCGTCTACCTCCTTATCGCTGAGTAGGCGACATCTAAACCACAATTTATTACGGAAGATGATTTGAAGAAGGCGCTGGGAGATTTTGCAACAACATTTCTCCCATTTGTTTGATACATGGGACATCAGTCTGGCCAGCGACACCTCAGCCAGCCAGCGGCAGGTTGGAAATAGCTAGGTGATAAAGCTCGAAGCTGAAGATCAGGGCCTCTGGTTCTAAATCACGTGCTCTGTGACCCTGGTATAGGTCACACCTCTCCCCCATGCATCAGTTTAATCACATCTTAGGAACATTATAATACAATTTAAATAATTAAATTGCATTAATACAATTGTGTGACTACCACCCAGGGCCCAGAAATAAATTCTAAAGAGAGGGCAAGAAAGGATAAAATGAAACAAATTCCTCCACTTCTTCTATCCTTCACTCCTAGCCTCCCCTTTTCTTTCTGAGAGAGAGAGAGGGAGAGAGAGAGAGAGAGAGAGAGAGAGAGAGAGAGAGAGAGAGAGAGAGAGAGAGAGAGAGAGAGAGAAGACAGGCAGGAGCACACATTGAAGGCAGCGTGGCAGTGACTTAGTTCCCATTGCCACTCAGTGAGTCTGAGATTTGAGTCCTGAGAGATTGTGGGAATACCCGTGGTCACATAACAATGGGAAGAACACTAACCTGGTCTATTGGGAGGTACCCTGGATGAAGTAGCCTTAACATCTCTGGGCCTCAGTTTGTCCATCTGTAAGATGGGGATGTCTACCATCAATCACCAGACAGTTGAAGGAATCAAAATAGACATATTTAAAAGTATTGGAAGAATTAATGGTATCATTAAAATGGAAATATTTATTCATATGTTCAGTCCTAATCAGCTAAAGGAAAAATGTGAATCTTGTTAGTTAAGCACATAATTATAATAATATATCATGGGAGTTAAAAGAACAACTCAGGTTCATGGCTTATATTTAGCTATAACATCCTTCTAGGTAATGTCCTTGGTCTTTAAAGGTGTTTAAATAACCTCATTTCTCTTTTCACTGGGTATCCATTCATTCATTCATTTATTCCACAAATATTATTTATTAAAAGGGAATTTATTAGATTTCATCCTTTAAGGAAATTATATGCAGCACATAATTATCTCGTCCACACATTTTCTTTTTCTTAGAAATCATGCTAATAATCTAGCAGGCTCTCTACCCCTAGGCCTGCCTATGTCTTTCTGGGATTCGAGTTTTCTGGTATCTAGTTGGCTTTGATGTCCTCTTCCTCATCCTGCCCAAATGGTGTCAAACCCACAGCCCCCGGGGACTCACCAAGCTTTGGCACAGTGCCTTGCAGTGCATCTTCATTTCCATGAGGAGGGGCAGCCACAGCCCAGTCCAGTGGTGGGTATTCAATAAATATTTATCAAATGGGTACAGGGAACATGATCGTCTTATATAAAATCATCATTTTTTGGAAAATCCTCAAAAACTCAGCAGGGTTCTTCTCCATCCCAACCTACCCTCCTCCACTGGTCTCCATGCTCCCGGAGAGTCGTCTGTGGGTCCAGGGCCCAGGCCCCTTCTGTGCTGGTCACTAGACGGGTGACTTGGGGAAGAGGACAGGAGAAGTGGGAGCGAACAGGGCGAGGGCAGTCTAGAATGGAGCTGAATCTTTCCTGGGAGCCATGAGTACGGATTTCCCCTGCAGAGGGTGAGTCTGGCTGAGTAGCCCTCCTAGGGCCCTTGCAAGGAGGCCTTAGACTTTGGGGAGAACAGGCCCCAATGGGCAACCAGCCGATGCCAGGGGGGAAGTCCTCTCTCTGTCACAGCAGCAGCTCCAGGCCCACAAATAGATGCCAGTACAGTAGTCCCTCGGATCACAAGATGTATTTTTGGTGCTGGAAGCCGGCCACTCTTCGGCAGCCTTTCAGCATTAAGTCTGCTTGCTTTCGGGGGGGCGGGGGGGGGGGGCAAGCCTTCAGTGCGCAGCATGGGAATGCTGCCTGGGAGTGTGGGCACGCATATATGTAGGCTGCCCGGAGCAGAATGGGGGCTGGCCTGGGAGGCTGTGTGCCTGGACCTGTGGCCTAGAGGCTGGAGGGCTTGCCAGCCACAGCGTGTGAACTTTGGGGAAGTGATCTCTGTTCGCAGGCTGCAGCTGGCTCTCAAGGCTGAGACCATGGATGCCACCACCAACGTGACCTATCTTTGCTCTAAAATGCATGTCAGCCAGGCCAGCGAGGATCAGGGGTTGAGGGTAGACCTATGAACCAGGAGGTTACGGTTTGATTCCCAGTCTGGGCAGATGCCCAGGTTGCAGGCTCAAACCCCAGTGTGGGGCTTGAGTGCAGGAGGCAGCCGATCAATGATTCTCTCTTACCATTGATGTTTCTATTTCTCTCCCTCTCTTTTCCTCTCTGAAATCAATAAAAATATATTAAAAATAAATAAAATTCACGTCCTCTTTCCCTTGCCCCGACCCTGAGACTGTCCCTGGTGGGTGGGCCCTCTGTCTCCCACCAGACCTCGCCGTCTTGGGGCAGACACTGTCAGGCAGAAGCAGGCCCTTCCTCTACCCCCCACAGAGTTGGGAACAAAGGGATTCCTCTGATGGGCCAGACAGGAGTGTGTGGGCCAAGTCCCATGAATGGAAGAGGAGCCACTGGGATGCCAGCTTGGCGGGCCTCGGCCGGGCAAGGGGGCCAGGGGCCCAGGGGCCCAGGACACAGAGCAACAGGGCACCTGCGCCAGGATTCTCAGCACCATTCATAGGATGTCCCCTCCTCTCTCCGCACCTCTCATCCCTCCACAAATCCCACTTGCCTGTGTACTTTACACAGTAGCGAGCCTGTTAAGGCTCCAAATCCAACAAGGCGGGATTTCACTCCTTTTTCACTACACCTCCCACAAGTGGAGCTTATGTCCCTGTATGCCTCGCCCTCTCTCCCTGCCTCCTCTCCGCCTCTCCATCTGTCTAGAATGGTTCTCTGGGGAAAGGATAGTCTCTGAGAGGCCCAGCCTAGCCCAGCTCTGCAGCTACTTACATGGGTCCCTGGGACAGTGCAGGCTGCAGGAGGAGGGAGGGAGCCTGGACTCCACTGGGCTTCAGGCAAGCAAGGCCAGGGCTGCGTGCAGGCGCCTGACTTTTGTCCCTGCTGTGTGCCTAGCAGTAAGGGCCTGAGAAAGGGTCTTCTGTCCTTATTGTCTCTAAGAGAGTCCAAAATTGGAGGTGCCACCCATCTGGTCACGTCATCCCTGGCTAATTCTCTCGGTGCCTCAGTTTCCCCATCTGTAAAGTGGGGATAATATTCTCCGCCTCGCAGCCACCGCTTCATAAGAAGCAAATAAGACCCTGGCTGGGAATCGGAACGCGTCAGACACATGTGGGGGTGTTGTCTTACCATCTAGGCAACTTTTCCAGAGCCAAACCCACTGCTCGACGGCTGTGGTTCAGCTCATTCTCTGGCTTGGTTTTCAACACAAAGCAGCTGACTCCTCAGAAATATGCCTTCTCTTCAGGGGTGGCTGCATCATCTTCCCGTCACTTCGGGGTCCCTCTTTCTCTCC